ATAATAATAATAATAATAATAATAATAATAATAATAATAATAATAATAATAATAATAATAATAATAAATAATCCCAAAAAAATCATAAATAAACGGGGCGCTACAAGTAAGTCCCATGATTTTTACAACGAACAATCAATTTCACATATTTTTTATTAACCAAAAGTAATAAGATAGTTATGAATTGTATTTGGATAGATAGTAAGTCCCATGATTTTTGCAACGGACAATCAATTTCACATGCTTAATTAACGGAAATATCACCATTTTTAAGGAGAATATCCATTTGCTTAATTAACGCAAATTTCATGCTAAATTAACAAAATATCCACTGCTTTTTCACAATTTTTCTTCCGATTTTAAAGTAGAATACGTAAATAGAAAGTCAAAAGTCAACTCAATTATTTTTAGGTTTCTAAAAAAAAATTTTTACATCAACTTTTTTAGATAGATATAGATATAGATAAATAAATAAATAAAATTCTATGTTAGCCCGTATCCATTCCAAAAAAAATTATTATTACAAATTATGAATATAGGCAATTCACTCGCTGTCTTTCACTACAACTTGTTCCATTATTTCCAGCTCACTTCACAAACACACACACACAAACACAGAGAAGAGGAGAAGAAATGGGTATCCCAATCTCCTCCTCCAATTCCAATCGCTTTACCCGATTACTCCTATGCATCCTCCTCTTCTCTCTCTACCCTTTCCCCATTTCCTCCATTAACATCACTCACCTCCTCTCCCCATACTCCATTTTCTCCGATTTCAACTCCCTCCTCACTACCACCGCCCTCGCCGCCGATCTCTCCACCCGCTCCCCCTTTACCCTCCTCGCCGTCCCCAACGACCACATCCTCTCCGCCCCTTCCTCCGCCCTCCTCCCTGACGTCCTCCGCTACCACGTCCTGCTCGACCGCCTCACTCCCTCCGACCTCCGCCGCCTCCCGCCCACAGGAAAACTCGTCACCACCCTTTTCCAGACAACCGGCCGCGCCACCGACAACTCCGGCTCCGTCAACATCACCCGCGACCCGGCCTCCGACACCGTCACATTCCGCTCCCTCGCCTCCAACTCCAGCGCCACGCTGCTGCCCCCGATCGAAACCCTAATTGCCGACGGCAACATCTCCGTCCTTCCCATCAGCTCCCTCCTCATCCCCAGCAGCCTTGATCTCATGGCCTCCGAGACCCGCCCCCCGCTGGGCCTCAACATCACCCAGGAACTCATCGACGGTCACAACTTCAACGTGGCGGCGGCGATGTTCACCGCCTCGGGGGTCGTCTCGGAGTTCGGGGCCGACATGGCCGGCGCCGGCATAACCCTGTTCGCCCCTACCGACACGGCCTTCGCAGATCTGCCCTCCTCCGTCAGATTCCAGTCTCTGACCGCCGACCAGAAGGCCATCGTGCTCAAATTCCACGTCCTCCACTCTTACTATCCTCTGGGGACCCTTGAATCCATCGTAAACCCTACTTATCCTACTCTGGCCACTGAACAGAACGGTGCAGGTCGGTTCACAGTCAACATCTCCCGCCTCAATGGCTCAGTAGCCATCGACACCGGGTTAGTGCTCGCAACAATTACGCAGACGGTTTTTGACCAGAATCCGGTGGCCATATTTGGGGTGTCCAAAGTTTTGCTTCCCAAGGAGTATTTTGGGGGCAGTGGGATAATTCCGGATGCTCCGCCACCGGACATTGCTGCACCCTCACTGGATGATGCTCCCGGGCCCTCGTCTCATTTGCAGGTACCACCCCTGCCAGGGCAGACTTCGGGGGCATTGAGAGCATTTGTGGCCTGCTGGTGTGTGATATTCTGCTATGTGTTGTTGCTATAGCTTGATTATTGGTTTGTTCAGATGGGATTTGTATGGAATCTTTTTTGTGGCATTTGAGAATCGAATCTATCTTACAAAAGAGAAAAGAAGGCAACCATTTTCCTACTGGGATTCCTTATAAGGTAACGGGGGATAAATTGGTCAGATATGGTTGATTTGTGGGCAAATCATATGGAGGTTAGAAGATATCTATTTTGAATTGTTGTGTGATCATAATTCATGGGGATACGTATAATTCTTTTGTTGTAAAGAACTCTCAAGTTTCACCATTTATTTTTTGTGTAATTTAATGATCCATCGATATTTGGTTTACAAATGAGGCGTTGTGAAGGAAATCTGAGTAACTTTTTGTTGTCCCATTGTGCTACTCTGGAAAGGCTGAGAAGCTGTGCTTAATTATGTGTGGTGTCTGCTTCTTAAGACTTTCTGCTGAAAGATTGGTGGCTGGCTTTTGAAAGTTGCTTGATTCATGCAAGAAGTGGTGCAAAGTTAGTGTTGAAATGCATGTTTCTCCAGTTTGTCATAAGTAATATAAAGTTGTGTAAGAGATTCCAGTTCTTGCATCATTTTTTGTTATTAATCCTGTTGTAAGAAGCTTGACTTTCATTATGTGATCTCGTTGCATAGTTTTGTCATTCTTTTTTCCACTTTCTTATTTTGTTGTTCAGCTTCTTATCCTAGATGCCTTGAGATGTTTCCCTACCTTTAATACTATCGACAGCCTCCACGGAATCACAATGCATTAGTGAGATAATACCGAACTAGGTAGATCGTAGTGAATGGTAGACATTATTACCAGAATCTAAGGGCAAAAAATTGGACAGGAGTTATGAGAGGAGCAAATTCCAAATCCTACTTAGGTTGGGATCTTATTATGGTGAGTCTTTTCTTCACTGATGGAATGAGATTGGGGTTTTGCTGTTTGCATTTGTTTACATTGATTGTTGGAGATGGTCATCAATTTTTATAGCAGATTTCCTTGATTTGTTTTCCATGATAGGGTTCAATAAAAGGTTTGATTGTCCAAGTTGATCGTCACAATTTGTTGGCAGTTTTGATAAAATGGATTTTGTAACAGGCAAGTAATAATAGGTTAAAATGGTTGCCAGGATTGAATATGAAAATGAAAATGCTGATAATGCAGGGATTTGCCTATTCAACTTACGTACCTGTGCAGTGCTCTCTGTGCCCCATCATTTGCAACGGGGCTGTTAATGGTTTGCTCAAATGTATAGTTGGTTCTAAATTACGAAGAGAAATCTTGATACCGTAAATATATTTTAGGTACTGTAATAATGAATTTATGCTCCTGAATTAGAGACTTATTATGAGGTGTGTGTGTGTTNTGTTTCATGATTTTGTATCATTTCTTTCAATATACCATTTTTTTTTTTTCTTATGAGCAAGAATTATTTTATTAATTAAATACTTTATTTATCTCGAATATATGTCCAAAAATAAATAGCGATACTAATTAATAAAATATTAGAATTTTGATGTTTACAAATGACCATTGGTACTTGTTCGCAGACAAAATGTTTTAGCACTGAATGAGTCAAATTTTGGATTTAGTTGCGACATGCAGATAATTTATATTCGCATTATGGAGTTTTTCAAGTTGAGTTTGTAGATAGTTTAAACTCATATTAAAGAATTCATTTGGTTTGATTTGTAGATAGTTTATACTTGTATCTAATAGTTTTGATTTGATTTGACAGATAGTTTATACTCGTATCAAATAGTTCTTGATTTGGATTGTTTTTTAGATAATGATGTAGCGCAGCGTTAAACGAAAAGGGAACAAGAGATAAATCTCAAGATTCGATAAAATTATTCATAAACAACCAAGTCTTCGAAATGAAAGAGACGATATAAATAAAGTCTCAACTAATCCTAATCCCTAACTTGCTAAGCAAGTAAAAATAATAATTTAGGAAAAGAGAATAAAGCATAATAATAAAATATCTAGGAGATAAATAACTAAACTAAAGATGGTAAAGGATCATATTTTTCCATAAATGCTAATGCAATCTCGTCTCCATCATCCTCCCCTGGTTGGGAAGGATTCGCCCTCGAATCCGAAATGATCTCGTCTCCGTCGGAATTCTCGCCGAGATAAAGAACCAAATGTTTGACGTTGAAAACGTCAGACGTGCGAATATGCGAAGGCAAACGAAGACGGTAGGCATTGAGATTAATCTTCTCGATGATCTCAACCAGGCCAATCTTGCGGACGAAGAGCTTATTGTACTCATGAGCCGAAAAACGATCCTTAGTGAGGACCGCCCACACGAAATCGCCCACTTCAAACTCGACATGGCGACGTCGAGCATCCGCGCGTCTCTTGTAGTCCGCGGTCACTGCCTCCAAATGAGCCCGGGCAGTCTCGTGAGTCTGCCGCAAATCAGCCATCAAGTCCTCAGCCCGATGATCGGCCGTTGCGCCCGAAGGCAGGGCCAACAAATTCGCCGCACCGCGCGGTCGAACCACGTAAACCACCCTAAACGGGGACAACCCGGTCGCACGACTCTTAGCCGAGTTATGAGCAAACTCAGCCTGCGGGAGCCACTGGTCCCAACTCTTCAGATTGTCGCCCACCAAACAACGCAATAAATTCCCAAGCGAACGATTAACGACCTCTGTCTGGCCGTCAGTCTGAGGATGATAAGCGCTACTGAAGTCCAACCGTGTGTTGGCGAGACGCCACAAACTACGCCAAAAATGGCTCAGAAAACGTGTGTCATGGTCAGAAACAATAGAAGAGGGCAAGCCATGCAGACGATAAATCTCGCGAAAAAATAAAGTAGCCACATGAAATGCATCTGCGGTCCTCTTGCAATGAATAAAATGGACCGTCTTGAAAAAAATGGTCGACGACCACAAAGATAGAATCATTACCTCTTTGCGTACGAGGCAAACCCAAGACGAAGTCCATGCTAATCGCGGTCCACGGGCGTGAGCGAATCGGTAAGGGCCAGTAAAGGCCGGAGTTAGACGCCACAGCCTTATAAACCTGATAGGTACGACAACGCTCCATGAAACGAGCCACATCCCTACGTAAAGACGGCCAGAAGAAGGAGCGGCTCACCAGGTCGACGGAGCGATCGCGGCCCACGTGCCCGATACCATGAAGGTCGGCCACCGCACGCTACAGTCGGGAATGCATAACCGCACACCGCGGAATAAGACCCATCAGAAAAAGCATAATCATCCATCGGACCCGCAGCGAGGCGAGTAATAATGGGCCCGAAAAAGGGGTCCGTAGCATAGAGATCCTTCAACAAATCGAACCCCACAACTTCGACCCGCATATCAGTCAATAACATCGAACGACGACTCAAGGCATCTGCCACGCGATTTGAAGCACCCGGGCGATGCTTCAGCACAAAAGTGAACTGTTGCAGATAAGATGTCCATGTAGCATGGCGAGCAGAAATATTCCCTTGAGAGCAAAGGTGGGGAAGGGCCTCGTGGTCGGAGAATAAAACAAACTCCCGATGAAAAAGATAGTGCCTCCAATAAGTGACATCTCGAAACACGGCATAGAACTCGACGTCATAGGTGCTGTAGCGCAACTGCGGCCCAGACAACCTCTCACTAAAGAATGCAACAGGCCTGTCCTCCTGGAACAGCACAGCACCAATCCCGACCTTCGAAGCATCACATGAAAGCTCAAACGGGAGAGAAAAATCAGAAAGGACCAAAACCGGGGCAGAAGTGAGCTTGCTCTTGATAAGATCAAAAGCAGCAGCGGCCTGAGGGGTCCAGGCGAAAGACTTGCTGTGAAGACAGTCTGTGATAGGTGCGGTAATAGAACTAAAATGCGAAACGAAACGTCGATAAAAGGAAGCCAAACCGTGGAAACTCCGTGCCTCCGTGAACAACGTTGGAGTCGGCCAGTCCCGAACGGCGGCTACCTTGCTGTCGTCCACTCGAATGCCAGTCGCAGAGATGATAAAGCCCAAAAATAGAACCGAATCGACCATAAAAGAGCACTTCCAGGGCGCAGCAAAGAAGGACTCGGACCGTAAAATCTGCAAAACTGCCCGCACATGATCCAAATGTTCTGTGATAGTAGACTATAAATGAGAATGTCGTCGAAATAAACGACGAACACCGCCCAATGAGGTCACGCAACGCTTGGTTCATCACTCGCATCAGAGTGCTGGGTGCATTCGACAGACCGAAGGGCATCACCAACCAAACCACTCAAAAAGACCCTTCCGGATCTTAAAGGCGGTCTTCCACTCGTCACCTAGGCGGATCCGAATTTGGTGATAGCCACTGCGAAGATCAAGTTTGGTAAAAACCGAAGCGCCATGCAACTGGTCCAAAAGGTCATCGAGGCGGGGAATAGGAAACCTGTAACGGACCGTGATCTTATTAATAGCACGACTGTCAACACACATACGCCACGAGGCATCCTTCTTTGGGATGAGCAAGGCTGGCACTGCACACAGGCTCAAACTGCGACGAACGACCCCGCGCTGCAATAACTCCTCCACTTGCCGTCGCAATTCTTCATGTTCAGCCGGGCTCATACGATAATGAGGACGATTAGGCAGAGACGCTCCCAGCACCAAATCAATATGAAGTTGGATGTCCCGAAGCGGAGGGAAGCTGAATGGTAACTCAGCAGGGAACACATCAGAAAACTCCTCAAGTAAGGGAAGAATAATGGCCGGAGGAGTCGTAGTAGAAGAATGTACGGAGCCTCCCGCATCTCCTCGAGAAAAGCCGCGCGAGTAAAAAAAAGAACTGGGGAAGGCATGGCCTGAGGAACCGGGCGAGGAGGTGAAGAGTGCAGCACCAAACGAACGCCCTGAAACATGAAACTGTAAGTGTTGAGGCGTCCATCATAAGCCACCGAACAATCGAACTGCCAAGGACGACCCAAAAGGAGGTGACATGCGTCCATGGGCACTACATCACACCACGCTGAATCAAAATTCTTGGGTCCAATAAAAAATTGCGCCAATACCCAACGATCAACCTTGATGGAATTGCCCCACTGAATCCACGCCAGAGTATATGGATGAGGGTGCGGTACCGTGGATAAGTGAAGACGATCAACAGCATCCTGAGCTACAACGTTTTCACAAGAGCCAGAGTCAATAATGCAACGACAAACACGACCACCTACCGTACGCGTGGATTCAAAAATATTGTGCCGCTGCAAAGAGTCATCAGCCGAGGCCCAAGGTGACAAACACGAACGACGAAAAACCAAAGCCAGGCCCTCGTCGCCACACAGATGCTCTTCCACCGGCTCAGGCTCAACGTCGAAGATTGGCGGGCCATCATACTCAGCCCCTGTGTCGCCGTCGACGTCTTTCGCCAACAATGTGTGGTTGCCACCGCGCCGAGGACACGCTGACTGGCGGTGGCCGGTTTCGCCACAAGAAAAGCAGCGTGGCCCACCCCCCGCACGTGAATTCTCTGTCGTCGCTGCTCCGCCAACCCCGCTCATCTGGCCGGGAGACACGCCTGCTGCTGTGCTGCTGCGGGATGCCGGGAACCCGCCAGTAGCCGTCGACTGATTTTGTCCAGCCAAGAAAGAAGACGGCAACCCCGCACGCGGCTGAAATTCGGACGACGAGGAATTACGCCGCGAGAGTTGTTGTTCAACGAGCAAGGCTCGTTGATGGGCGGCCGATACCGTTTCAGGCGTAAACATATTCAGCATGTCCCGATTGCGAGTCGTAAGCCTCCCAGGTAACGGGATACCTTCTAAGCCGTCGTTTCACAGAGATCGACATGCGTGAGTAGTGGTAGAAATCTTCCGTGTATTCATCCACGGATCGAGCACCTTGGCGCAAATTTTGAAGTTGATGATAGATGGTGCTCACGTAATTAAACGGAAGAAATTCCCTCTCGATATGTTTTCAGAACTTGGCCCATGTCACGATTTTAGGCTTACCCAGTTGCCGTCTTGAGTCCTCGAGGTGCTGCCACCATGCCACAACCCTTCCTCGCAGTCGTGTGCCGACGAGGCCCACTCAATGGTTATCTGGGACATCCTTGTACTCGAAAATCGCCTCCACTGATGCGATCCAATCGAGAAAATCGGCTGCGTCTAGCCCACCCGAGAACTCCGGTATTTCCACACGGAACAGATTCTCCCAACGCCGCTCGTCGCACGCCTCCTCATCTGCTCATGGGTAACCCCGGCCGAATGGGTTATACTCCTCCTCCGTAGCATCCGAATCACCGTTCTCCTCCTCGCACGGCGAATTTTGTCTGCCACCAAATCGCGCGTGGCCGCGACCCCCACGGCCACCACGAATCCCACCGCGACCGCCGTCTCGACCCTCGAGCCCGCCGCGGTTCATTTGGTTGTGTCGCATCATCGTTTGTAGAGCCTCTCGGATATCCTCCATTCCCGCCGCCAAATCCGACATATCATGGCCCATCGATTGTAACTGCCGCCTGAAACCCTAGCCTTGTCGCGTGAGGGCCTCAATTGCCGCGTCTCGTCTCTCGTCAGCCGTGGTGTCGTTCCTCTTGGGCGGCATCGTGGATCGTAGCTAACCCTGGATACCAACTGATGTAGCGCAGCGTTAAACGAAAAGGGAACAATAGATAAATATCAAGATTCGAAAAAATTATTTATAAACAACCAAGTCTTCTGTTGTAGCAAATTATATTTTTACCGAGTACCGAATCAAAGGATTCGTTTCCCGAGTCGATCTCTCATGGAAGGCGGTTTGGAATTTAGCTTCGGTACTGATTCCACACAAAAAGAAAATAAATCATAAACACTCTAATCAGATAGCAGATTGGATGAATTATTAACTAAGAAATAAAATAAAACAATAATCTATCTAAAAATATAAACGGAACAAAGATGGAGAAGCTGGGGAATCAGGGATAATTTATTCAAGTTCTTAGCAAAATCGGGCAATCAATTGTTCGGTTCGAGATTGACACTCTCGCTTAAACATCTAGCGGTTCGCTCCCAATAACTTTCCGTAACAAGGGGTTGAACATAGACGAACAAGCTCGAGCATACAATACAGGTCAATTATCCAATCCCAATAACTTTTCGTAACAAGGGACGGGTCATTGACAAGCACGTATTTCAATCCAAAACCTATAAACTATTCAATTATGAAATTATCTACCTCATGCGAGCCTAGGTCTATGACTTCTCCCTTTTCAGTTCTAAAAGCCGCTAATTCAATTAGAAGGTGTTTAATCAACTAATTATCGAGAATCAACAAAACCAAACTCGATAACTCAATATCCAATTTTTACCAATTGCAAGATCGAAGTGTCACCCTTCGATTACATCAAACTATCAAGCATAATTTCATCAACTCCTAATCAAAATTAACTCACATAAGCATGAACAATTTTAGCCCGACAAATACACGTGAAACATGAACAATTATTCCCTATCCCTAGCAATCAAAATTAGCTATGTATCATGAATTCAACACATTTAAGCAATTCACCCCAAATAATCATTCTCATGAATTAAACAAGATGAAAAACTTACAATCAATCCAATTTCAAGAGTTGAATCCAAGTTACAAGCTTAATCCTAATTATTAAGAAGAAGAAAAAAAAAATGAAAACGAATGGTGAAGAGAAGAGGAAAAACGATGGAGAAGAAGGAGAGAATGAGAAATGGAGTTCTTGTATTTTTACGGGCCTAGGGTTCGTCTCCCAGAAAAGGAGAATGTATAAAACGAGTTCCCGTACACATATTTATAAGAAAAGTCGGCCATGGCGTGAGGAAGGCGCGACACGGCGAAGCAGGGCACTTGGGTCGCAGTTCGGGTCGCGGTGCTGCCGCGGCGCGGAAAGGGCTGGTGTCGCGGAGCGGGGCGGGCGCGGGGCCTGGGCAGCTCGCACTTCTTCACGTCTCGGGCTCGTTTGGGCTCGTCCGAACTCGGAATTGAGTTCCGTTTTTTCCTACGCGTCGCTAACGAACCCCTCTATTCAATGATGCTTTCATGACCAGATTTTGCCAATAGTACAATCCTCTAGAGTTTTCCAACCTTCAAACGGTCGGCAGCTTGTTGGACTTTACGTTTTGGCCCCGTTTGGATTCGTCTGAACTCGGAATTGAGTTCCGTTTTTTCCTGTGTGACGCCGACGAACTCTTCTATCTACTTATGCTTGCCCGACTGACTTTTGTCAAAATTCGATCTTCCCGAAGCTTTCGACCTACACACTATAAACGAAGAAAAACCGGAAAAACATACGAAAAACACAAGCAAAACCAAGATAGAGTAAAACACGCGATAAACTGCAAAATGAGATAAAAACTAACTAAAAGACCTAATATGGGGGAAAAAGAAAGGAAAAATAACAAGGAAAAACGCAACAAAAATGGGACAAACAACTCCCCACACTTAAACCTTTGTTCGTCCCGAACAAAAAGAAAAGAAAAGAAAACAAGACATGAGCATGAATATGGTTTCAAATCAGAATAGCCTCAAAATGCCCAACTCAATCGGGTCGAATTCCAACGACCGTATGACCATATGCCTCAAATATCAACTTGGCCTTGAAATGACAAACTCTCAAACATATACATTGCAATATAAGCCTCACTCATTTTCTTACATGAATATGTAATAGGTACGCTCAAGACTGGTCGATATTCAAGTTTCAACATATGTTTGCCAATCGTTTAAATTACTTGAAAACAATCAAAGCTCAAAAGGTGCGAATCAAGAAGACTTCACGGGTTGTAATGTGGGCTAAGGTAAAAGTAAGATATATATATATATATATATATATATATATATATGTATATATATGGATACGAAGCTCAAATAATCAATCAAAGTTCTCGAGTAATAGACTACTCGAATGTCCGCAACACGCCGAAATAAACAATATAGCACATTTACCATCCACCAAACAACTCCACAAGAAACACCTAACTGCTCTAATCGAAGTGCAACATTACTTGACCAAAATTTTTTATTTTACTTTTTATTTTTATTTTTTTTTTCTTTGGAGAGTAACTTCTTCCGAACAAGATCGAATCAAAAGGACAACATTCTGTAGATGTGAACCTTGGAGGTCATCCAAGTGTCCTACAGTAGTTTCCCAATGCTCATTATCGGTCAACATAAATCGACTAGTAAGAGGAGCAGAATCCATTTGATTCGTCTTGTAAGCTCTCATGTTTTTTTTTTTGTTTTTTTTTTATTTATTTTTTTTGTTGTTGAATGGTCAAGCAATAGGAATCCAACTCTAATTCACCTCATTCAACAACGATACCATTTTCACCAATCATCAGCAAATCAGTCAACAAAATACATTTAATGTAAGGCTGACAAGAAAAAGGCTCAAAGCTCAAACGGGCTACTAGTGGAAATTCTTTTTGTTTTTGGATCAAGAATAAGGCAAAAATGAGCTATCAAACAAAACACCTCAATCATATTCGTAATTTCAAACTCTAATCGATTCCTTTCAAACAAACTCAAGGCAAGTTCTAATCATTCATGCATATGACCAATATCCCACAAGAAAAAAGAGTAAGGATCAAAACCTCACAAGGCAAATATATGTCACCCAAAGCAATCAAGCATATACCGAGGCCATGACCACACCTCCGTCATCACAACTTCCCAATTTCATCAAACATTCATCAACAAATCATATAATCCACCAATACCATGCTCAACGACACAAAAACCTAAAACTAGTCCGGCCAATCATATAAGCATGCAAAAATCCAAATAAACGCCCCTACACTTAAAATGAGGCAATATCCTCATTGCTTCAACACGAAGTAAGAAGTCAAATAAAGGACCTAGCACTTTCATATAGTGAACCAATACTAGCAACTACCACATGCACACAAACTAAGAAGGAAAAGCAGAAGGAAGAAACACACTCAAAAAATGTAAAAAGAGAAAAGGTGTGCAAACCGGGGGTGACTCAAGAAGACTAAGCGTCCAGTGCATGCCTTTCGCCCAAGCTCCAAGCCTCGATAGGTCCTGACAAGCAAAAACCACACAACTCCCAAAACTTCAATTATTCAACAATAAAAACTAAAAATGCATAAACGAAATTAGCTAAGAAAGTGGTAAATATCACTTGGGTTGCCTCCCAAGAAGCTCTTATTTTACGTCATTAGCTTGACGAAACCTGAGGTGACTCATCCAGGGTCTAGGAAAAAGTGACGATCGTGCCACGCCTTTGTATTCTCGAGAAGTGGCAGTGCTGACTCTAAGGACAGAAGGCGGGCACTGTGGGCACGAGTGGCTATGTTCTTCGAATGACGAGCCGGTCTATTTCCACCAGAACCAAACAACCACGCGTGATTGAAATTAATTCCTAATCAAATTAATTCACATAAGCATGAACAATTTTAGCCCGACAAATACACGTGAAACATGAACAATTATCCCCTATCCCTAGCAATCAAAATTAGCTATGTATCATGAATTCAACACATTCAAGCAATTCACCCCAAATAATCATTCTCATGAATTAAACAAGATGAAAAACTTACAATCAATCCAATTTCAAGAGTTGAATCCAAGTTACAAGCTTAATTCTAATTAT